ACAAAGAAGATTAGGTTCAGATACCTGATGGGCGAATTATAATCCCCTATAACCAACTCTGGAAGCTAGTTCAGGAAGAACATAATAAAACTCATTGAGGTAGCAACTCTTTGTATAAATACTTAGATGAACAAATTGAAGGAAGGAATCTGCATAACATAGTTCAATTAGTGACAATGTCAGCTCTGCCTCAAGAATAACCCTAAGATTGAAAGTAGAAATCAAATTGGTACAACTGGGGAGGAAGTTATCTGGGACAGTACTAAAAAATAATTCTTTCTGAATTATTGAGACCAGTATTTGTTGGTGTTAACGAATACTTTTTCAGGGTGGCCAGAAGCATTCCCTTGTATAATACAAGTAATTGGAACATTGTTAAACAGTGTAATACCTTGTTCTGCAGCACGAGAGGCAATTTCTTCTGACCGAGGCTCACCCTTTAGTAACTTCATTATATCAAGCCTTACCACTGGCTCTATTAAGAATTTGGACTAAACATCAGTCAAAAGAAGAGGCTATCCCATGTAAAATTTTACATGGAAGACAATATCAATCCCAGTTTAAAGAAGAAAGTCTTCTGGAAGTGGGAGAAGTTTATCTCCTAGAGTTTCTGATCAATCTGGGAAAGCAATTAGAAGAAATAAGAAAATACTGAGGACAAGAGCGAGAGGCGTGGATTATCCGACTCACCCTTTTAGATCTAGAGACTGGGTTTATGTTAAGAATTTTTTAGGAGATCCTCTATGGGAGAAGTGGAGCGGACCGTACCAGATATTATTGACCACCTTTACAGCAGTGAAGATAAAGGAACAACTTGCTTGATACATTATTCAAGAATAAAGAAAGCACCAGAACCAGAGGAGACATGGCGGATCGAACCTTCAAGACCCTCGCATATGAAATTATATCAGTCATAATTTGGATTTATGTGATAACTGACATACCACCTTGGGACTAATACTTACACCTGAAATTAATGCAGAATGTTACTAAAGTTGCTAATTGTAGTGACTGTTGGGTGTTTGCACAGTTGCCTGAATCAGGAGAAGATCAGGACCTTCCATTAATTGGCATTCCAATTTCCAACACTATCTCATGGACAATTTTAAGATTTGGAACAGTTAATCCTAATCCAAATATTATACTTGTATATGAAGATGTATTACACCAGGAACCAGAATAGGAGACTATGTTTGTTTAAATGCCACAGGCGTAGGTCACTATTCACATTGTAATCACACTATTAATAGAGATGGTATTGTGGTTCAGTGGTGGCCTGTTCCTGAAGGGAACGGATGGTATTGGTTAAGTGAGGGTTTAACCCTATTGCTGAACAGAGTACTGCATTTCATAGTTTTGTGAGATGGCTAATTCCATCTTTGGGAATAAGTGAATTAGAGAAGGCAATCATAAATATCGCAGCAACCATGGGAAATAGAAAGTAAAACCATTGATATAACCCCAGTGAAACAAGAATCAATGAAAATTGCTGTTCCTGAAACAGATCTGGAGGAAATCTGGAAACAAACTAAAATATTTAATAAAATGGCCAAGGATGATACCTCCTGGGGTTTGGAGAAGTTACCTTCATGGTTACCTGATCTCTCCTGGTTCAGGCAACTGGTTGCAGGAATATTAATATTAATTGTTTTAATATTGATTACTTGTGGTATAACAAAATTTTCTTCCTGGAATTATAAGTGATCTATGATAAATTATGAAGATTGAAAAAGAAATGAAATGTAAATATCAAGTAGAAACAAGAAACTATTTCAAAAAGACTCTGGATGGTGATAGCAGTATATAAAATGTTGCAACAGAATTTTCAAAAGGACAGAAAAAGGGGTATAGACATTTGTTGGTGCTAACAGACACCTTTTCAGGTTGGCCAGAAGCCTTTCCAAGTAGAAGCGCACAAGCCAGGGAGGTAACAAAGATACTGTTACAGGATGGTTGTGAGGATTTTGAAGGTATGTGCTCGGTAAATTTATCTGACCATTCTGAATCAATTCATGCTAAGCTGTGAAAATTGCAGTAGCACGTACACTGGATGAAGAAGAGTATAAAACCGGTGACTTTGAGGAAATGGGGTGGGTGCAGTTGGTGGAGCAGAGACTCCCCGGCTGCCCAGTGCTGTTTTGCTTGCTGTCGCTTGCTCAATAAACCGATTTGATTCATTGGCCTGGCTCTAGTCAATTTATTTGAGCCACTATTTATGGGGGAGGCAGAGCCTCTGCAGGGACGCCCGGTAAGGTTGAGCCTGCCACCTCGCACTGGTGATGTACGGATTGACTCCACAACTCGTTAAAGTTGTAAAGTAAGTATGTTTTTTATTCAGTGCTGAGACGCACAGGGATAATTCCTCAAAGTCATGCGTGCCTCAGGGTTGTTTCCCTCTACCTTTATAAGGTTGCACCACGTGCCTATACACATTCAAGTCTTACCCCCGCTTCCTATTACAATGAGCTAGAAGGTCCTTTGCGCCTTCACAGTGCCCCCTCTGGTCATGGGCAGGGGTCTCAGGATGAAGTAAATGAGTCTTCCTCCTGTGAGTAGGGGTCTTCAAGATGAAGTAAATGAGTCTTCCTCTTCTTGAACTTTTCACCTTTTAGTCTTTACGTATGGCCTTAGGGTTCGGTCCCAGCCATAAACCATCTGCTTCTCCCCCTTAACAGTAGATTCAGGGGTCTGCTTTTCCCTATCAATAGGTGCTTATCGGTAGAATCAGGTGTCTGCTTTTCCTTGTCAATAGAACCAAGTGTCTGCTTTTTCTTATCAATAGTTAGTGCCTTTGTTCTGCTTAGTAGGCATGATAGGTACAGACAATACCTTTGCTTAAACAAGCGAATTCCTCTAACCACCCTGTACAACCCCCTGTACATTGGTCAACCCTCTGCATCACTGCGATGATGCTTCTCGGAGCTGGTTTTCTGTTAGTCTCCACAGGGTCCTTGTGCCACGTTCTGTACATGGGATTGTGTAGCGGAAGTAATGATTGTTGGGATTTTGTGCTTCAAATACTGTAGTTGTGTGGAGTGTGCTTGTGGAATCCCATACGTGTGTGTGTGTGTGTGCTGAGGACAGACAGTGTTCTGTGTATTTTTTATTGTTGGGTTCATGTAAAAGTTTTTAAGGTGTAGCAGTTTAATATTTCAGGCAAGAACGGGTTAATGCAAAAGTGCGGTTCCCGGCAGATATTTATGGTTGCTGCTGAAGCAGGCAGGCATTTATAGCTGCTGCCGAGCAGGCTGGCGTTTGTAGCTGTGCAAAGCAGGGTGAGCGACTCTGGGGAAGAAAAAAACAAAAAAAATTATAAAGTTATTTGATAAGAGTTCGGTCCCCATGTTCAAAAGAAGCTGCCCTCCAATTCAGCTCCCAGTGCTCCAACCAGGACCAGGACGGACACCAGAGCCGAGGAGAGAAAAAACAAAACAAAACCAAGCTTAATATGTTTAGAGCAACCTGGGGATGAATCCAAGACTTGGAGGAACAGATAGATCGGTTGAAACAAGAACGGCTAACTGAAAAAGCAAGAGGGGTAGTGCAACCACAAGCCTTACAAGCCGTCACCTAAGCAGCATCAGGGTGTCATAAAAAACAAAAAAAAAAGGCAATGACGCGGCAAACTCCCCGTTTAACCTGTCTACGTCTCAAGAACTGATAACCTGGAGGAGGGGGTGTATTTGTGTCCTCCTGCCTACAGGTCCATAGTGACTGCCTGCAAAGTTTGTCAAGCCTTGCCATGATCTGGACAGACGAATGGAGGAACCTGATGCCTCAGCTACAGGAGCTGAACGTAAATACCCCAAGCAGAATGAGATAGAGGAAGAGAAAAAAACAATGATTGCTAAACATCATTTGGGGGCAACTGAAAAATAAGAGCTTGAATATATGTGTTTGTAAACTAGCTATTGTTAGAGGCTTTGATTTTGTGTATGAAACCACCTGTATTTACTAGCCAGTTGCTGATAAGAAACTACACCTTGTATTGTATGGATTTGTCACTTGTAAAAGAGATGTTAGAGTATGCAAATTTGTAGTAACTGCTAGAAAATGCTAAGGCAAAAGATAGAAACATTCTAATACAATGGTAGTGTTATAAAGCAGGTAATGGAACAAATTAAGGGGGTGGGAGAATTCCACTGGTAAGAAATTTCTTTGGCTAGTTCCTCACTGCCATCAGCATCTTCAACATGCTGCTGTACCCTTTAATAATTACTCTGCTAATGTAAATCTGTGTGTGTGCCTTGCCATAATAACAACTTGGTATTGGATGAAGCAGGTGAAACTCTGCATTGACAACAAGGTGCAAGGACTGAGGCTGACCAAATGCCTGCTACCACAATCAAGGGCAAGACTGTGTTGGCCTCTGTGTTTGCCACCAATAAGAACCTTTAGCTCCGCTGCTGGCTGCAACCCAGCAGGCATGGAGTGGTAGGGACACATGCCATGCCAGACCTTGATGTGAAGGATGGCCTCCCCTGTTATTAGAGAGGAATACAGCAGAAAAAAGGGGCAGGCCCAGCAGCCTGTATTTGGCATATGTTGAAAATTTGATCTAGCCCAAATCACCTGCTCAAGTAGGGTCGTCCAAAACATATATAAAACAAAAAGGGGGAGATGTGGAGACAGTGTTCTCACGGGAGAACGCACAATTGGTACATAAATTGAATAATCCTGAAAGATACAGCAAGGCCATGAGAGGCCCGAGGAAGCTTAAGCAAGCAAGATAAGAAGCAGCTGTAATTCACCGAATTAATGAGAACTGTGGACTGTTAGCAAGCTTTCGAGGTCAAGTTCTCACACCTGTGCTTAACCAATTGTGTGTTAGTCACTAAGGGTCTTCAAGACATGTGTCCAATCATAATATGCCAAATCATTGTAAGTGCCTGTAAGAAATGGTATATAAGGAGTTAAAGTTTTGTAATAAAATTGCATTCGCTGATCACATTGATCGTTCCTGCCTTGTCTGTGACTCCCGTGTCGACAGAATATTACCAAATTGATGTGCCTTAAAAGCAAATTTTGACTTTCTGACAATTCCAGAAGTCTCAGTAGCACCATCAGCTTGGTTTTCGGTGCTGTTGTGTTGGGGGGTGGGGGTGGGGAAGGAATGCAGGGTTTTAGCCTCTATTATCTTATGTTTGGTTACCACAGCATATCCTGCTTTCTGGTTTCCATTTTCATAAAGCTGCTGCTGCCCAGAAACAGTTTGTAGTCCACATCCTTCAGGGATGTATCTTGCAGGTCAGTATGACTGGAATACACCTGCTCAATAGTCTGTAAACAGTTGTGAATCAGCTCTCCCACTTCTGCATCGCTTATCAAAAACCACTGCTGGGTTCAAAAGGTTAGTTACTTTCAATTCTACATGCTCTTGTTCTAAAAGCACAGCCTGATGTTTTAACAGCCTACTTGGGGAAAGCCAGTGACTACTTTTCTGTTCCGGAATGGTTGTTAGTCCATTTTTATCCTAAAGTATTTGACAAATTTTTCTATTAGAGTCTCTAGTCCTTTTCTTGCTTCATGATCGTCCTGGTACTCCAGCAGCCCATACTTGCGGGGTGTATTCTCCACTTTTTATGGTATATCTGGCTCAGTGGCTGGTTTCTGTAACATAAAAACTTGGGCCTCCATAGCCTTTTCATTGGAACATGTACCTCAATTTTCTTTCTTTAAACCTCACTTATGCATGTAATATCCAATAACAGCAGAGGGCACTCAGCCATGCAAAGAAATTGAGGGGTCAACATCTGTTAGACAATTTTAAAATTTTAAAGAAAGGCTGGGTTCCTGTCCACCCTGTGGCACCAATGCCTGAAGCTGTTTGTTTGCTTAATTACCCTTTACAAGTACTTATAACAGAATACGAATGTTCTGTTTCTACAAAAAACTTTATCTTATCATTCCTTCCCCAACCTAACTGTAGCCAGGGGTTCTGCTGGGAAGGGTTTCTAATCTTCCCCAAGTCCTCCTCAGTCTTCATCTCAAGTAATCGTTCTCTCTGCCTCTCCTGACATTACAATAAATCTCTGGTGTTTATTTTGATTCTGAAGGCATTCTCACTTCCAGTGCAACCAGTGGAGTCTGTTCACAAACCTTCCTATGTAATCCTTCTTTCCAACCCTTTGCTCTCAGGCTGCTCTCCCCTTTCCTGCCTTCCTGGGTGAGAGTTACAGCCAACAATTTTTTTTTTTTTCTTTTCTTTTTTTTCCCCCTAAACAGTCCGAGTTTACTCTGGAGCTTATTTTATGCCCCCACATATCCTATAAAATATTCCTAGTTGAAACCTGACACAGTGTAACCCACAATACACAATACTGTATTATATTAATTATATTATTAACATATATATATTAATAATCAGGGACTCAAACACCTTCCCACCACCATTTGAACCATTTCAGGGAACTTGCACCAGAGCAATGGTGGTCCGATTGCGACAGAGCTCCCAGGCCACATTCATTATCTTTCCCAACTCATATTGGTCCTTTCCTTCCTTCCTTCCTTCAATTCAGGATCAGTAGTAGTATATTTATGCATCACCTCTTTAAATCTTTCCACGAATCCAGAAGGTGATTCATTTATATCTTCCTTTATTTCATATAGCTTAGACCAGTTCACTGCCTTGGGGACCACATTCCTAATACTGAATAAAATCCACCTCTGATATTGTTTCAAAGCCTGCCTGCCTCTCCTGGGTTCAGCAGTAGCAGTCATTTGTCCCCTTCTTAGTACCTGGTGTAGCGCTGTGGTTTTGACTTTCAGCCTGGGAACAGTGCTGATAACACTTGTGTTTTTAGTTGTTGCTAAGTAATGTTTAGTCTGGACAAGGACTTTCTGAGTCTCATGCTCTGCCAGGGAGGAGGGGAAGCTGGGAGGAAGCAGAGACAGGACACCTGACTCAAACTAGCCAAAGAGGTATTCCATACCCCAGCACGTCATGCCCAGGATGTAGAACTGGGGGCAGTTACCCGGAAGGGCTAAATCACTGCTAGGTTAGGCTGGGTATCAGTCGGTGGCTGGTGAGCGGTTGTATTCTCTTCCCTTGTTATTTCCCTTATCATTATTATTATTGGTGGCAGCAGTAGTGGTTTGTGTTATACCTTAGTTACTGGACTCTTCTTATCTCAACCTGTGGGAGTTACATTCTTTCAATTCTCCTCCCCATCCCTCCGGGGGAAGGAGTGAGAGAGAGACTGCATGGTTTTCTGAGTTACGTTTGGGCTTAAACCATGACACTGCCCTGGTCCTGATTAGGGTCCCAGTTAGGATCACAGGTAGGTACCTGAAGATTCACTATACCTGCCAATGTGCCTGCTCTTATTTGTTGCTCTACTGCGGTCTGAGCTGTACAAATAATCATATTCCCGTCAACATTCTCAAAAGCATAATGCATAATTATCCACCACTTGTTTCCAAGTATTCTAATCTATAATGGTAAAGGGAATCTTTATCAGGACCAGACCATCATTGCCCACAGCTTGTCTTAAAGGTGCAATGACAGTTTCCCCTTGTTTTCCCCTAGTTTGCACTGCTGTAGGGCAAAACCCTTCAGCCCCCTCTAATATCTCCAGTGCCTGTGCTTGATTCTCATTGTCAGCACCTTCAGCCCCATTATTCACAATACCCCCTTCTCCAGGGGGCTACCATCAAATCCAAATCCTCCTCTGCATTCCTCAAATGCTTACTGCATAACTATCCTATGCTGCACAAAGAGCAACAGCGTTTAAGCAAATTTTTCTCCAAGGACAATACTGACAGGTCATGGGGTGCAAAATTAAAACTACAATCCTTTTGCCATTCCAGATGATATCTCAAAGTGAAAAACATTTCCTCATAAGCTACTTCATTCCACTTTCCTTTTCATCTCAAGAATAACCACCACCATTGATTACAGTATTTTACCAGAGTGTCCCGAGTAACTGAACCACCTGGGGGTCCACCACTTTGTTTGAAAATATCCCAGGTGACCAAGCCACTCAGGGGTTCACTCATTTGTATCCAGAGAGGTGCAAAATGTAACCCAATGGGGATTTCTTCAAAACCCCCTATGGAGGCAGTGGTACTGACCTCCACCCAGATTCCAGACTGTTGCAAAATGCAACCCAGTGGGGACCTTTCCAGGATCCCCCCTTTGGAGGCAGTGGTACCCATGATCCTAACCTCCACCAAATACCAAAGTCTGGTCAACCAAAACCAATTTACCTTTTACCCACTGCACAGAGCATCCCCTGCACCTTACGTGGAAAGGGACCAGAAAGAATGCCTTTTTAAATAAATAAAATCAGGGTCTTACTGAGGTCCCGAGTCGGTCTGGGTACCTGCAGTTCCTTTCAGGGAAACTCCCCTGATTGCCAGCGTGAAGGTCCCAGAGACTCCCCAGATCCACGGAAAACACGGCAGGTTGTCCCTGTTTGGGCACCAAATTGTTACCACAGAAGTCAGTTGGAAACACTCTCTGAGACTCAATTTGGAGTTTTAGAAAGAAGGCATTCTTTACTGCAGCACTGGGTGCACACACACAAATCATTTAGCAAAGGTGAGCATGCCCAATACTTGCCAACAGAGGCTACTTATTTAGCATACACATGCATATTCATAGCTTTTCCAGGAAAAAAAACATAATATTTGCATCCTAATTACGCATGTACCCAAGAGTCAGGCCACTGAGGAACACCAGAACAACCAACAAGTGGATAAAGCTGCTAAGATTGAAGTGGCTCAGATGGACTTAGATTGGCAACATAAAAGTGAATTATTTTTGGCCCGGTGGGCCCATGACACTTCAGGCCATCAGGGCAGAGATGCAACATATAGATGGGCCCGTGATCGAGGGGTGGACTTAACAATGGACACTATTGCCCAGGTTATTCATGAGTGTGAAACATGTGCTGCAATTAAACAAGCCAAACGGTTAAAATCTCTTTGGTATGGAGGACGATGGCTGAAGTATAAATATGGGGAGGCCTGGCAGATTGACTATATCACACTGCCACCTTTCCGCCAAGGTAAGCACCATGTGCTTACCATGGTGGAAGCAACCACTGGATGGCTGGAAGCGTACGCTGTGCCCCACGCCACTGCCCGGAACACTATCCTGGGCCTTGAGAAACAAATTTTGTGGTGACACGGCACCCCAGAGTGAATTGAGTCAGGCAATGGGACACATTTCCTAATTGCCCACAGAGCCTTTGCTTTTCTTCTCCTGCCTCAACTGCTCTCCTCTGCTCAGACACAAACTGAGCAGGTTTAATTCTACCCTCTCCCTCTGCTTTCAGCAGAAAGGGATAGAATAGGAAAGAATAGGACTTACCTTCTTTCTTGAGTGGGATCTGTCCTCCTCTTTAGCTGTTTTGCTATTTTTCCCAGCTCTGGAAAGCTTCTGCTTCCCAGATTGCTTGATGGTGATTCTGATCTCAGGAGGGCAAATGTAGTTCTCCAAGTTCTTTGGGGGCTTCTTAGCTCTTTTAGTGGTCTGGATCTTTAGTTTTAAACTCCCCTCTGTGAAGTTAGCTTCCTTGATGGAAAATTCCTGCTCCTCTAGGCCATCTCCTGCCACCCATTTCTCACTGTCTGCATTGGAAGTGGAATCCATATCTTGCCCAGAACCATCCTCTTCCTTGGGCTCCAGCCTCTCACTGCTCACCAGAATCCCTTTCCCCGAGCCCGCCACAGGCAGCATCATCTCCTCCACACAGCTGGCGGTAAGTGGAGGCTTCACAGAGACCACAGCAATTGGCAGAAAGTCTGCTACACCTCCCCTTTGCCAGGATCTGCCCAAAGTCTCCCTGGACTCCATAGCAATACTGCAATGCCCTGGAGTTTTATCAGAGGGAAGGGAGTGTGGGAGGTGATGAGGAGAGCAAGGGCAGGTACAGTCCCAGGGAACAAATGGCAACTGTCCACCAAATTCAATGTCCTGATCGCCCAGAAGCTGCAAGTTTCTCAGAAGAGACCAAATGTTCCACTGTCAAAATAAAGTAGAAGAAAAAAAGGAAGCTAGCATGCACACACATATCAAACACGAGTGTGGAAATGACTAAAACAGAGCACACTTGGGCTTCCCCTGCAGCATCTCAAGGGCCTTTCTTGAAGCAAAATGAGAGCCAAGGCTGGCCAGCATTTCTGAGGGCTGGATCTAGTACCGCAAAGCAACGAACAATAGCCACATGTATTGCTAAATTGACAAAAATGGATATCCAAAATAACCAAATAATGGTATATAAATACAAAAGCCTTCCACTCTAGACTTGTGGAAATATATGACGGGGCAACAAGCTCTCTATAGCCATGAACCTCCTTGTTACTTCAAACTGTTTGCTGTCAGGGTTTTTTAGAGGGAGAAAACATAAAAAAATAGAGGCAGACGCCTCAGGTTAAACATTAACACAGTCATCACAGTACAGAAAACATGCTATTGCCCTATGAATCAGGCAGCAGAGATTCAAGCCCAAGATGCTCCCTGGGATGCTGGAACTGCAGGAGTCTGCAGACCTGGGTCTCTTGTAGGGCGTATTAGAGACCTGAGTACTGAAAGCAATGGAAAAAAAGCTAAACCTCAGTGCTTTCCAGAGTTCCTCATGCCCTTGGGTACTACTGCTCTTTGGCGAGGGCTGACTGAAGCAGACTGTGCTCTCATCCTTTCAAATGTCAGCTTTCTTTAAAAGATCACAGATTGAACCCTTTGAGATGGAAACATTCATATTCAGGACCTTACAAAGTCTCAGCCAAAGTTAATGGGAGAAGCTGCTGAATATTCAACTGAGGCAAAAGATGTATCACCATTCTATGTCATTAGACAAAGAAAACCAAATACTAAACATTTGGTTAAAAAATAACACAGTGTGTTTTAAAGGTGTTGAGGTGCTTTCATACATGCTCCCTAAAATCCCCCTATAGCCACATAGCAAGACAGTTTAGGCTACAAAATTAGTAGGGCAGTACCTCAGAGAGAAGCAAAGATCTTTTCTGCTACTTCAGCAGAAATAGCTCCCCGGTGAGTCAGAGGAGTATCACTTCTGGCAGACAGAGAAAAAAACAAGAAGGCACTATCAGGAGTAAGTGCTGGAGGTTCAGACCTACTCTTTCAGCAGTAGCTCCCCTGCTAGATTAGCTCTGCTACACTGCCAAACCCCACCCCTTGACCAACTCCAAGCAAGATCTGAGCACAGTCAGGGATTTCCCAGGTCACTCTTAGTAACAATAAATCATAAAGGAGAAATAAAAATGATCTTGCTAGTTATCAGAAAAACACAACAGCATTACCACCATAGACTACTTTAAAGCACAGCTTACCAAGAAAGAGCACATAACCTTGTACCACTGGCTCCTTGCTGCTTTTTAAACATACCTTGCATGAACTTAAAATTCAAGAAGAATGAATAATAAGCACTTTTTATTAGTTATATATCCACATGTCCATTGGAGTATGGCCATGAGTCACTTGCCTGATCCTAGCACATATGGCCATTAATAAAGTCCTAAGCATCAGAAAGCTCCATGAAATCACTGGGTGACCTCCACCCAGGCCCCAGCAGACACAAATTCAAATCAAGTTCTCATAAAGGGCACAAGCTGACAGCACAACCAGAAACAAAACAAACAAAAAGAAAAGGGGGGGGGAACCATCATAGAGCCTGAACTGCCATCTGGCCTTAGAGATGATTTCTGTAGCTCATAGTAGATAGAAGTACATCATAAAAAACACTTATGCTTAATTTGCACAACTTCTGACAATAGAGGAAAGATTCATTTCCTATAGCTGCTGCCAGCGGTCTCACTTAAGGTGATCTTGAAGAACTAACAGACCCAAGATCACCTGCATGCCTACCTTGACTCACCCTCTGATCAGCAAATCTCTCCCTTTCACCACCTATAAAACAAGGATGAAGCTTACCTCACCAAAACCCATTATACGGTGGACGAATTAATGCCCTTACATAGTTTTGAACCCCAGTGTTTACCATGGGATAGTTGCTAATTACTAACACAATTAGTACATTAAAGCCACCCAGTTGCAAGGAACTGCTCCAACTAATTGGCCGACCTTGGGCCTTACCTCTCCTTTGTGCCTATGGAGATGATAGGAGTAAGGGTTACCTTTCTCTTCCAATGGGTCAAATAAAAAAAAAATGGTCCTATTTATCTGCCATTTTTCATTGTTAATCTCCTTGGAGAGTGTCATGGTTTAAGCCCAGCTGGAAATTCAGAACCATGCAGCTGCTCACTCACTTCCCACCATATCCCCCCCCCCTTCTTCCTCCCCCTGCTCCCAGGGGGATGGGGATGAGAATCAAAAGAACGTAACTCCCATGGGTTGAGATAAGAACAGTCCAGTAACTAAGGTATAACACAAAACTACTGTTACCATCAATAATAATAAAGGAAATAACAAGGGAAGAGAACACAATCGCTCACCACCTGCCAACTGATACCCATCCTGACCCGAGCACCAATCTAGCCCTTCTGGGTAACTACCCTCAGTTTATATATTGGGCATGACATGCTGTGATATGGAATACCCCTTTGGCTAGTTTGGGTCAGGTGTCTTGACTCTGCTTCCTCCTGCTTCCCCTCCTCCCTGGCAGAGCATGAGACTCACAAAGTCCTTGGTCAGAGTAAACATGACTTAGCAACAACTAAAAACATCGGTGTTGTCAGCGTTGTTCCCAGGCTGAGAATCAAAAGCACAGCACTGCACCAGCTCCTAAAAAGGACAAAAATGACTGCTCCTGCTGAACCCAGGATGCATTGTACACACACTCCTAGGCTGCAACACAAACATGAGGTGGCAAAAGCTCTGTGGTGCAGCATTCCAGGGAGTTACTGCTCTAGTATGCATGCATATACAATGGACAGTCTGTGCTGGCCTGTACCCACAGGCTTTTAACCTCTCTCACTGCTGGTAGAGAAGAGAAGGCTTCTAGCAGACAGCATCTAGAGCTCAGGAAGCAGGGCAGCAGGATGAGACAGTAGCCACCAAGAGTGTAGGGAAGAGACCACAGGCACTGGCATAATGAACCAACCTGCTTGAGACCCCACCTTGAACGGGAGCTGAAATAAAATTCATGGCTCTGAGTTGGGACAGGTCTTTCAGGTTTTGAGTCATTGGGTAATGTTTTATGAAGGGTGAATAAAAAGCCAGGTTTCTGCCCCAATGTCTGGTTGTGGATCTCAGACCCAGACATCTGGGTCACAATGGCCAAACATTCATCCCTGCTTAGCCATGTGCTTCCAGGTCAGTAGAAACAAGCAACAAATTAATGAAATCATTGCATTACACCATTGTCAGGTGAGTTCATGCCAAATTCACCTTAAAAGCTCACTTTATAATAATGGCCACCTGTTATGTTAAGAGCCTGCAGATGATGTCACAAGACCCACAGATGGCAACAAAGAACCCTGTGCTCAAATGCCAGGCAGAATTACCTGGGTCACTGTTTTAGGTATCTCCTTACCTCTTCTCCAGGGTTGTTAAATGACTCGGGTGCAGGGACATTATACTTGTCTTCCTCATTTGGGCAGGCTAACTGTGCTTTGACTAATTAGGAAACCTCACTTCAGGCTTCTGAATGTGTAACCTCTTTTAGAAACCTAACCATCTCCACTCTCCAGACTACCTATAAACAGAAACATTGAAAGCATGGCAATGAATATTTTTCCTCCAGCAGCTCTTCTTCCTTAGCTGGCAATGTGCAGATCTAGAAATCTGTGGAGGAAATGGATTTTCCAGGAGACCTCAAGTTCTATTTCAAACACCTGAGAGATGGGGGATGTCTAGACTTTTAAGTGCTCACCCAAACTGACTTTCCAGGCCTCCCAGGCTTACCAGCATCAAGTCCCATTCAGTCATCAACTACAGGGGCATTTTACCATCCAAATTAAGCTCCTGGAGAAACTTACTGATTGCAGGCTTCCTGCAGTCAAGTTAAATTTGAGGAGAATAAGTAATAGGTGTGTCACAATTTAAGCCCAGCCAATAACTCAGAACCACACAGCTCACTCCCCCTCCCTTCTTCCTCCCCCCACTCCGGGAGGGACAGGGAAGAGAATCAAAAGAATGTACATCCCACAGGTTGAGATAAGAACAGTCCAGTAACTAAGGTATAATACAAAACTACTACTGCTGCGACCAATACTAATAATAATGATAAGGGAAATAACAAGGGGAGAGAATACAATTGCTCACCACCTGCAGGCCAATACCCAGCCTGACCCAAGCAGCAATCTGGGCTTTCTGGGTGACTTCCCCCACTTTATATACTGGGCATGACGTGCTCTGGTATGGAATACCCCTTTGGATAGTTTGGGTCAGGTGTCCTGTCTCTGATTTCTCCCAGCTACCCCTCCTCCCTGGCAGAGCATGAGACTGAGAAAGCCCTTGATCAGAGTAAGCCTTACTTAGCAACAACTAAAACATTGGTGTGTAGTATCAGCTACTAGAAAGAAAATTAACTATCCCAGCCAAAACCAGGACATCACTTTATAGTCCTGGCATCTGAATACTCGTAAGCATGAGTATTTGCCTGAGGCAGTTACTACCTCAAGGTAGGTGTCTACTCAACTAGGTAGTTCCACCTACCTCAAGACAGGCAAGGGAAGTTATTCAGAACCCTTAATGGCAAACACCTAGTATGACCCAAAGGAAGGTTTTGTACTTCAGGTCTGCCTCCAGAAGTGTGTTTGAGGTGCCCAGAGGAGCTTATAAGAAACACTTGAGCAGCCGTAGCAAGGCTGAGAACACAGATATTTGATTATTTCTCAGTACTTCACTCAGAGGCAGCCTGAATTTCTCCCTAATTAAGAGATAATGCCTAACTCTGTGAAATTTGTTGTCCTTCATCTGTCCTGGGTTCAGCTGTAACAGTTATTTTTCTCCTTCTTAGTAGCTGGTGCAGCGCTGTGTTTTCAACTTCAGCCTGAGAACAATGCTGATAACACACCCATGTTTTAGTTGTTGCTCAGTAGCACTTACCCTGATCAAGGACTTTTCAGCCTCTCATGCTCTGACAGTGAGGAGGGGCACAAGAAACCAGGAGGGAGCAAAGACAGGACACTTGACCCAAACTAGCCAAAGGGATATTCCATACACAGGATGTCATGCCTGGTATATAAATTGGGGGGGGGGGGGGAGTTAGCTGGAAGGGGCTGTTCACTACTTGGGTCAGGATGGGTATTGGTCACCAGGTGGTGAGTAATTGTATTGTGCATCACTTGTGTTTATTGGTTTATTTTCCTTTCCCCTTTTAGTTTTATATCTCTCTCCTTGTTATTTCCATTATTATTATTATTCCTTGTCTCTAAATTGGAGAGACATCAATTTGATGAATGGACCACTCGGTGGATAAAGAACTGGCTGGATGGCCACATGCAAAGAGTTGTCAATGGCTCAATGTCCGGCTGGAGAGCTGTAACGAGTGGTGTCCCTCAGGGATCGGTGTTGGGACCGGTCTTGTTTAACATCTTCGTCGCTGACATGGACGGTGGGGTTGATTGCGCCCTCAGCAAGTTTGCCGATGACACCAATCTGTGTGGTTCGGTTGATACGCTGGAGGGAAGGAATGCCATCCAGGGGTAATGGGTTAAAACTGAAGCAGGGGAAGTTTAGATTGGATATAAGGAGGAAATTCTTTCCTGTTAGGGTGGTGAGGCACTGGAATAGGTTGCCCAGGGAGGTTGTGAATGCTCCATCCCTGGCAGTGTTCAAGGCCAGGTTGGACGAGGCCTTGGGTGATATGGTTTCGAGCGACGTGTCCCTGCCCATGGAAGGGGGGTTGGAACTTGATGATCTTAAGGTCCTTTCCAACCCTAACTATTCTATGATTCTATGATTCTATGATTATCATCACCATCGTCATTATATTTGCTCAAGCACTGGGAGCAGCAGCAGGAAGCTCAGAGCAGTATTAAGAGGTGCTGCCCAAATCCCATAATGCACAAATTCCACCCATGACTGTAGCTATTGAGACTGCTTTCATTTTATCCATAGGGTCCAAAATGCCTTAAGATGTAAGAGAAAACAAAAATCTAGTGAACAGGTTCAAGTGATGGGAAACTGAGTCACAAGTCTGAGAGTGTCATAGTGAACATGAAGCGGAGCCCATATCTTCTTGAGCCCT